CTAGCTTATGCAGTTTTCAAATTACTCCTTATTTTAAAGCATTAAATAGAAAAGCTAATAGATAAATACTGTTATATAAATCAAAGGTGCATATATTCAGGGGTATGTGTTATATGTATCCTTTTCTAGGATGGCACCAAATTGGTTGCTTAAAATCTTTTTAGATTACTGATTTATATTAAAAAAGACCCACACTGTAATTAGATTATCCTAATGGGAAGTATTATATAAGAAGCAGAATTGCACTAATATTCTAGAATCTATGGACATTCCATAGTCTTTTAAACAACATTTCCAAGGTGGATAAAATATAGTTGAAAAAAACTAAGAAAGTGTCTTCTCTAAAGCCTTGGCATTAGTCATGTAATCTTTTTTTTTGCATCTCAATGTGGATCATACATCTGATCCACAGTCATTTTGGGTATCTGAATGATCTCTCTGGATTGCCATGTGGTAGGTTTGGCTACATGACAGTTATTATCAAAATAGTTTGATGATAGGTAACCTGGCACCATTGCATTATTTACAGTTACCTTCTTTGCTCTTGAGCAATATCTATTGTTATATAATCAGTGTAGAAATATGTAAGAAATATGAAAAATCCTCCCTAATTTCACTATGCAGAAATAACTGTGTATAATCAGTGTAGAAATACGTAAGAAATATGAAAAATCCTCCCTAATTTCACTATGCAGAAATAACTCTGTGTTTCATTGTTTAGTTCTATAAGCTGTTTACATTTCCTTTCTTTTTAAACTTTATTACTGTTACTGAAAGTCAAAGAATACCTAAAAGTAACATGGAATCATATAACAATTTGAAGATATATATTCCCACAGTCATGTCCCCATATTTATATTCTTGGAAAAGAATAAATTGGAAAAGTCTAATATCCCTAATCTGTTATCAATAAATCGGTTTTCCACCAAAGCAATTGTATGAGAGTTAAATCATTTTGACAGGCAAATTGCTTGGTTTTAACCACATTTTTCTTTATGTACAAAGCAGGTATCGTCTATTGCCATATTCTCATCATCCTAAAGACACAGCCTTAAAATTATTGATGTTCTTAAAGAAAAATAAGATGATTGACTTGATAATGGTAATATATATATCAATACCAAAGAAGAAAAGTAAAACATAATTCTTTTGTTTCACTTATTGACAGACCCAGCAAATTAAAGTTTCATGTTAACTTTAAGTTTTTAAGAACTTATGTATCTTATGTTGAATTGATTATTAAAATTAAAGGACTGATTATCAGAAAAGTTTCCATATTTAACAGAAGCTTCATACCATATATCTTTTATTCCAAATGTGTTTATAAATGGGATTACTTTATTTCTTAACCTACCTAGTTTTTATAAAATTTAAAAAGCCATTAAACCAATACAACCAAAAAAAAAACTAATTAAAGCTATTTTCTGGTTTCTTGTACTTTTAATAAATTTCCCCTACCATGGTGACTAAAGCTGATAAACATTCATAAATCTTTTTGGGTAGGGAGGGATGGTAGGTAGGCAGTGTGCTTGTGTTGGCTACAATTAGAAAGTCCTCATTTCACTTATGTGTAAATAGGGCCTTAGGATAAGGTAGTGTAAATAATTTATGATATTCACATTTTAAAGTGAAGCATAGTCATACTGCAGAATGCTTGCTGGTTTTAAGCATGTTCCATTAGTATGATTTTTAGATTAATCTATATAGTCAAGGCATATCAGAATACAGGTTATTTATTTCTTTGGCAGGTTTTCTATATCAAATGGTTGATATTTTTTTCTCTATTCATTGTTAATAGTCAGTGCACAATTCTTATGTGAATTTTTAAAAAGGAGTTATACTATAAACATAAATGTGTATATGTATTCTTAAATATTTTAATCATCTGCATGCTGTATATTTCAAGCTTGTTTTCTATTGCTCTCAATATTGAAGAAGCCCATAAAATCACCTGTTAAGCCTCTACTGTTAATAATCTTTGGTTAGTTTTATATTAATTGTTATTAAGGTTTTTGAACTTTTTGATATGGTAACTTCATCTGAAGGCCTTTTATACAGTCTGTTAGTATTTAAAGATTCTTTAAAATATCTCATCAGAAACTAGTTTACAATTTTATACATTGTAATATTTAATTTCCATATTATGAGTAAGCCATTTATTTGTTTGGGCCAAGTAAGAAGCCTTCATTTGATCACTAACTGAGAATTCACTTTGGCTTCTCCTTTATGTGAAAACTTATTTTTTCCCTAATATGGAAGTACTTAATGCTAAATGCTAAGTAAAAGAGAGTATAATGGGTAAGTTTTCTCTGTGACTTTGCCTTAGCTTTCAGTAATGACAAAATGATTAGAAAAAGGTTGTTTATATGTAATTTGTTTATATGGTGATTATCACATGCTTCATTGTTACTTTTATAATATTTAGTTTCTATACCTCGAGCAATGCAATGCAAGTTTTATGCTTTCAACTAATGTGATACAAAGCATAAGAAAACATTGAATGATGGGTTACCTGAATGTGTATGACCTGTAGTTTAGGAAAATCTGGATGGCTTTAGAGACCCAGTTTTCAAGTTCTTGTTTTGACTCTTATCTTTTCTAATCGCCAAACATATTCCAATACCTACAGTATGCCAGGTGTTAAGCTAGGTGATAGTTTATGTGTCAGCCTTTTTCCCCATTCTTTAAAATAAGACTTCAGATGTAACCAAAACACACACACACACACACACACACACTTATAATGGAGTTTTCTAAATAAATATGTTTATGCTACTAAATGAGAAGGGCTTATATGAACTAAAATACTTGATAAGATTTAACAATGTTAAGATACTGAAAGATTAAGTAGATACAAGATTCTTTACTCTCCACATTTGAGAGACCCTGCAAGCAGTTGTTACCTGACACCCACAAACCTCTCTTGAATGAGCTGTTTTGAGGTATTCTGTGTTAAAACTATCTCCTACAGTAAAATAAGTTTGCCAGGATAATTATTTAACCCAAAAATCAACAGGTAAAGTCAGCTAAAAGACTACAGTAAATTAGGTTAACACTGTGAAGCCATGGTTTATTTTGTTTCTTCCTGATTCTAATAATATGTAATATACCTTACTCAGTCTCATCTTTAGGATTATTTGTCTACTGCCACTGTTGTGTGGGGCATAGTTTTATACATTTATTGCTCACACCATGTGCACTCCTTGGTCCAGTCTTTGTCATTTCATATGTATATACTGCATATAAATGTTAGAAACATTGTCTTAGCATTTTATATGAATATAGTCATATAGTCTTGGGGAAAAGTCTGTGATAGAACTGAAATGGTTAGATGGTAGATTTGCATTTCAAAGTCTAATTACCGAAAGAACAATATTGGACTCTCAGATACTGGAAGATGGGAAAGCCTGGATATTTTATGTTCCATGGAAACAAAAAAATGAAGTAGAACTTTCCCCTCTGTCAGCAAATGTCATTTTATTACAACACACCTAGATCATAGTGATTCCTTCAAAATATTAGTGATAGCACTGAATAAAACTTCCAGTAAATTTCTTGGTGAATATGTCAATTAGTTATTAAAATGTGATGTAATTTTAATGTAGGTTAATAACCTTTTACCAGCTGCTCCCTATTTTCCCCACTCCCTAACCCCTGGTAGCCTCTTTTCTACTCTTGTTTTCATGAGTTTGAACTTTTTAAAATAGATTTCACATATAATTTTACAATGCAGTAATAAACTTTCAGCTATAAGGTGAGTATGGTCTGAGAATCTAACAACAAGGTGACTATAGTTGATAACAGTGTATATTGAAGTTTGCTAAGAAATGTTCTCACCAAAAATAGGTGATGGATGTGACAATTAACTAGATCGGGGGAACCCTTTCACGATGTGTACATATATCAAAGTAATCACAATGTACCCTTTAATTACCTTACAAATTTTGTCAGTTATACTTCAAAGAAGTTGAAAAAAGTTACAAGGAAAATAATGTACGTTCAGTTCTAGGGTGCTTCCTAATGGTGTTAAAAGATCACCTGTCTTTAAGTGTCATAAAAATAAATGACTTATTTGTGAACTAGAGAAATTAGAAATAGAATTTTGCTTTGTAGTTATGGTAACTTTTAATACATTTCATAAATTTGAATGTTAAGTCTTCAAAGCAAATTTTGAGGCACAGTCTCATTTCAGAATTTGGTGCAGCTTCATAATGAACATATTCAAAACTAATGCGATGTCACTAGTGAACTCGAACGTTAAGATGAGTGAGTTATTGTGTATCCAGTTTTGACATTCAAAAAAAATCTATGGATTAAATTAAAAATTATCGTGGGTACATCTTGTCATCACGAGGCTTCAAGTGTACGTTAAAACACCGCCCTGTCCTCTCACGTCCTTTCACCCAAAGTAATGGTTTGTGATTTTGTGGTTATTGAAAGGGGAAAAATTGCCAGTTTGCCGTCTTGTACCTTCCTGGCTTCTGTGCCCATGTAGGCAAAACACCCTGAAGCCAGACCATTTTCCGTAGCAGACTGAGAAATCTGCCAGATGAGAGCAATGTTCCAGAACTGCCTGTTTCCCCACGAAAAGGGAGCAAAGGGAAAACTTAGCTGCACTGGGAAACAGGAGGAAGCTATCATTTAAAATGCCTTCTTTGTTCCAGGATCTTCATTTACTTTAGTCCTATGATCCTTAAACTCTTATTGTCACTTCAGTGATCTGTAAACTACCAAACAGTTAATTGTTGGCACTACACCATTCTCCTATCCTACTCACTTTAAAGCAACTCCCATTTGAGAAGCTGTGGCTTGATTAGATAGGATAAATATTCCTTGCATTCCGCAGCTGAAAAGTAAACCCTAAACGTTTGGCAATTGCTTTCCACCGGGTCTTCCAAGTTCTGCGGAAAGGGTGGAGGGTGTGGGAGGGTCGTCACGGAGAAGGCGGGTCCGGCCCCCGGGAATCTTTGGCTCCGCCCTTCAGAGCTTTGCTTCCGGGGCAGTCGGGGCGGCCACGTCATCGGGCTCTGCTCGCCTGCCCGGCGGTGGATGGTGGGAGTCAAGATGGCTGCGGCTGCGGCGGCAAGTATTCGGGAGAGACAAACAGGTACCTATGTAATTCCCTTCCCCTTCCTGCGGTTTTGGGACCACCGTAGAGACATCCTTTTCCTCTGCTTGTCGCCCTCACCCGGTGACCGTGCGTGCAGCTCCGTGGAATTCACTTCAGTTCGCAGAGCATCGAAAGCCCCTCCCCTTTTGAGTTTGAGAGTAGAGATGCCATTAGCTCGAGAGCCCGGCTTGTCACTTGTGCAGGAGAAGGGCTTGAGAAGTGGGCCGGTTGCTACTGTTTTGCACTTGTTTCTTTCCTACCGGGCCTCAAAAGGCCATTACAGGATCTGAACAGCTGGCATATTTTTACCCGGTATTACTACCTGTGAGGTCCCGGATTTGTCTCTGCGCGCGGTTCAGTTCTCTACCAGTTTTAATGTTGAAAGAGTTTGGTTTTCTGACACTTCCACCACAATTGCAACACAATGGGAGAATTAATCCAGGAGTACCTTTTATGCCTCCTGTTGTTACTTCACTTTTAAATATCAAAGCTTTTTATTTACATATTTTTATATAGTGCTGTAATACCTATGAGCTGCTAAAGTATTAAATAATTCATTGCCAAATAAATTACTGGCAATGTATATTATTAGCTGGGCATTAGGTACTAACATTTTACCAAAAAATGTCTGTATGCACGTACACATAAATATACAAATGTATCACTGAAGTCAATCTCGTATTTTACCTGCTTCAAGAAACAGGCACTTGAGTGAATGAATAGGCTATAAATTGATATTCAGGTGATTTGCATATTACAAAATTTTATTTTAGGAGCTGGATTGCAGATTGTTGTGTATTAATTTAATAAAGCTTAATCTAAATGCTTCTGAAAATCAGCTAAGTGGATTTTAGGTGTGCCAGTCTTAAAAACTAAATCATCTAACTAGTACTCTCCCTTGCCTATTTGGCCATCTCACGTTCACATAGGAATATATTCAGATTTTTCTTTAGAAAAGGTTTCTGAGTCTGCTGTAACACATGAGCAGATGAGCAATAAAAACTGCAAATTAATATAATATACAGAGAATAACTGCTATGACTTCAGAAATTTTGTGTTTTCTTAGCAGGGGTTATCAGTTACCCATTACATATCTGCAAAAAAGTCTCACTTTTTCCTTAGAGCATGTGATATTAAACAATGCTTCACTGAATCTTGACAGGATTTCACTGAATCTTGACAGGATAAAGTGTCCATAAAGTGTACTCCAAAATAACAAAAAAAAATAGACGTGCCATATAAAGGTTTTGTATACAAACCAATTAAATATATCATTGATAATTTTTAAGAAAGACTGATCTTAATCTATGCTTTCATCCAGATAGTAAATAGATAACAATATCAGTTATCTGTTGAGGCCACTGCAACTTCATGATTTGCATCTATATAAAATATAGTGTGAGATTGTCAGGAGAAATGGAAAAGGCTTCTTGCTTAATATTTTTCACATTTTCCTCTGGGTGCAGATGCCTATTGTATTTTAGAAGATCTCCCAAATACATCCCAATTAGCTGTTGATGTAATTGTTTTACTGATAGTTTGTTTGAGATAGTAAGTAATAAATGTGGGGGAGCAGGGTATGAAATCCTAAAAAACAATGGTAGTATTTAATAAGACTATTTTCATTTCCAGTGGCTTTGAAGCGTATGTTGAATTTCAACGTGCCTCATGTTAAAAACAGCACTGGAGAACCAGTATGGAAGGTAAAGGAGTTTAATGGAGACTATTTCCTCTTTCTTGGCCCTTACTGTAGTGATTGGAGAGAAATTCTTGTTACACTGAACAGTAATACATTTTAGTTGTAATGCATGAATATCTTATTTAACATGGCTTTTTAATGTGAATCTTTTTGATAAACGTGTTATGGAATAAGACTGGGGAAAATGGAAGTTCCTATGGCCAGGCCAGGATCCTCACCTGACCCTAAACTGTTTTATGAGGTAATTGGCCTACTACTAGGCTAATACTTCCACACCCCACAGACAATGAGCTGTTACTTACTGAGTTACCATATAAAGGCTCTGTCCAGTGGGCAGTGGCAGAGATGGAGGTAGATTATGGACCTGCAGACTGCCAGATGCAGACATGATTTTAGTGCTCCACCACCAGTAGAATAAAGCTGGGTATAAACCCTTTTATCCCAAGAATGTTCCATCATCATTTCCTTGTCTCACTGAATCCATAGTGAACTTGCCCTAGGCTGAAACCCTCAGGCAAGATAAACAGGTGATAGTAATACTCACCTAGGGATTCCATCTGGTCTCTGAGGTGGGGGCCTCACTAATAGGTCTTTATTTACTCTGGTTGGTCTTCTTTGAGAAATGTTGGAGAACCTTTGAACTCTGAGCTTTTTCCCATTTTTTGAGTTAAACCGTGTTCACTTTATCTCTCTCTCCCAGGTATATATAAAGTTAAGTTTAAATTTGTTAGTTTATAATTTCTTTATACTTATCTCTTGCTAACATTTAAGAAAAGAAAACTTTCTTACAAGTTTGGATGTTTTGAAAACTCATGAGTCCTTTAAGTCCCTTAGGTTAAAGCTAAAGGAGGTTAAAGTTATCTATGTTGGATTCATAGTTTAAGCTTAAGTGTTGCCCTTTATTTTCCCTTTCCTTCCTGTTTATTTGTGGGCATCTTCTTATTACCCTTTGTATACTAGTGTATTCTTTCTAAAGCCTGTATTGAGCTTTTGAGTTAAAAAGCTTGAGAATTTCTTAGGTACAGGTATGTGTCAAATTCTTTCCATACCTATCAGTTCTATATCACAAGATAATAAAACAGATGTATAGGGACTTAAAGAGGGAAGATTTTTGAGGGACACAACATCCAACCTCTCATAACTAGAGCAAGAAGAATTTTAGTTTTTCTGAAGAAAATGCTGGCATTCAAGAAAACCATGTTTTCATGACAGCATGTTTTAGCCTCTAGTGATTTCTTACTCAAAAAAAATTATGAAAACACTTGCTAGTTGAAGTGTCTCTTTTGTTTAAACCTTAACTCTAAAACTAATTTTGACTTAGAAGACCCAGTTGGAGTTCGTAAAACTCAAAGGTGTCAGTGTCAGTACTTTTTAGAATGTGAGGAAATACATGTAACAGAATAAGGCTAGCAAGTACTCTTTAGGGACTTAATTTTTAAAATGAATTTATTTCTGAGATGCTTAAATTGCTAAATTTTCTTTATAGGTTTGGAACTTGTTGTGCATTAGTCTTGAGTGATTCATTTTTCTCAGAAAGGATATGTGTGAACTGGGTAGGGGAATGTATGTGAGTTTGCTGTATGTTCAAAGTCCTTTATAATAGTTTTAAGATTAAGGTTTTATAGTCTTTAATATGTTTTTTTACCTAGAAAAAACATTTTATAAGAAGAAATTTACATAATTATTTATTTTAGCCTAATAATGCTTTTTAAGAATGGATTACTACGTGAATGGACATTTTGTTGAATAATGATGGATAGTATTAAATTGAGTTAAGAATAAGAATTCCATACTGTCTTGCCAGTGGGTTTCAGCCCCGGGCAAGTTCACCATAGATTCAATGTGACCAAAGAAATGACAGTAAAACGTTCTTGGGGTGAAAGGATTACACCCAACTTTATTTCCATGGTGGCAGGTCAATCACTAAAATCCCATTCACTTAGAGTGAGTCTGCATGCAGCAAGCAGTCTCTGCCTCTAGACCTCTCTGTCCACACCACCATCCTCTGGGCCTCTGTCCTCGGCGCTTTCACCTTTCCAGCCTCTGCTCTGCTCTCCTGCAGCCTTGCAGCCATGCCACCCTGTCACCAAGAGCACTAGGCAGGGCTCCCCCTATAGAGTCAATGACAACGTATTGCCCACACGTGTGTAGTGAGCTAACTGACCAGGGCCAGGTGAGAGTTCTGGGCCACAGGAACTATCATTTTATCCACAAGTAAAATGATTCATTAAAAGAAAATGTACCTCAACATTGTGTTATTATGGGTTCTCTGTTGATTGTTCACTGATGATGATGTTTAAAAAACACATTTTTTTAAAACTAGGTGCTCATTTATGACAGATTTGGCCAAGATATCATCTCTCCTCTACTCTCTGTGAAGGAGCTGAGAGACATGGGAATCACTCTGCATCTGTGAGTTTTTATATATTTCTAATAATGACATCTGTTGTCAAGCACATGGTTAAAGATGTCTTTGACTACCCTGAACTCAAAATTTTAAGGGAAATGTTTAGAGAAAATAACGTTAAGTTATAGTACTTACCAACATTTTTTTCCTTCTATTCAACTTTTTACTTCCGAAGTTAAAAATAATCCTGAGTTTGAGGCTTTATAATATGAGAATTCAAATGTTCTCTCTTGTTTCTGTTTCTACAGACTGGTTTACCTTCTTAAGTGAAGGAAAAGAACTGGATGTCTTAAGGTCTTTTCCAACTCTGAAAACGTTTTTTTCCTTTAATTTAAATATACTTTTTAAAAAGAGGAATATCTAGTTTATCATTAATAAGAAAAATTTAAGTAACTCTGAAGTAATGATTGTCAGTCATCATAGGGGCCTATTTTGTCTTAAGTACTGAATTTATTTGATTATATTGCATCTGATATGTTTGATGAATAAAACAAATTGCATGACTTTATAGAATTGACCCAATAGAACAATTGAAGAAGAGTTATGTTCATGAATAGATAGTAGTACTTTTATGTACTGAAAGAGTCCAATTTTATCGTGTTCCAACCTATCTAATTTTCATTTGTGATGTTACATATTGAATTGAAATATGCTCTTTTATTGGGAATGTGGTTTTAGAATGCCAGTGAGTAGCATATAAGAATCTGGTTAAATTGTTAAATTCTTCAATTTTATATTGACTATTTAAATTAATAAAACATATTACATTAATTCTAAAATATACTTTTCATTTTCTTATATTTCCGAAATTAGGATCTCTCTTAGTTCATGTCATGCCACAGTTTAATGGCAGCATTTTTCTGCCAATTTTAGTACAAATTTTTTTTTTGTATCATTAGTCTACAATTACATGAGGAACATTATGTTTCTAGGTTCCCCCCTTCACCAACCCCCATTACAGTCACTGTCCATCAGCATAGTAAGATGCTATAGAATCACTACTTGACTTCTCTGTGTTGCACAGCCCTCCCCGTGCCTCCCCCCACATTATACATGCTAATCGTGATGACCCCTTTCTTCACGCCCCCCCCTTATCCCTCCCTTCCCACCCATCCTTCCCAGTCCCTTTCCCTTTGCTAACTGTTAGTCCGTTCTTGGGTTCTGTGATTCTGCTGCTGTTTTGTTCCTTCAGTTTTCCTTTGTTCTTACACTCCACATATGAGTGAAATCATTTGGTATTTGTCTTTCTCTGCCTGGCTTATTTCACTGAGCATAGTACCCTCTGGCTCCATCCATGTTGTTGCAAATGGTAGGATTTGTTTTCTTCTTATGGCTGAATAATATTCCATTGTGTATATGTACCACATCTTCTTTATCCATTCATCTACTGATGGACACTTATGTTGCTTCCATTTCTTGGCTATTGTAAATAGTGCTGTGATAAACATAGGGGTGCGTCTGTCTTTTTCAAACTGGAGTGCTGCATTCTTAGGGTAAATTCCTGGAAGTGGAATTCCTGGGTCAAATGGTATGTCTTTATTGAGCTTTTTGAGGAACCTCCATACTGCTTTCCACAATGGTTGAACTAATTTACATTCCCACCAGCAGTGTAGGAGGGTTCCCCTTTCTCCACAGCCTTGCCAACATTTGTTGTTGTTTGTCTTTTGGATGGTGGCCATCCTTATTGCTGTGAGGTGGTATCTCATTGTGGTTTTAATTTGGATTTCTCTGATGAGTAGCGATATGGAACATCTTTTCATGTGTCTGTTGGCCATCTGAATTTCTTCTTTGGAGAACTGTCTGTTCGGCTCCTCTGCCCATTTTTTAATTGGATTATTTGCTTTTTTGTTGAGGTGCATGAGCTCTTTATATATTTTGAATGTCAACCCTTTATCGGATCTGTCATTTATGAATATATTCTCCCATATTGTAGGGTACCTTTTTGTTCTATTGATGGTGTCCTTTGCTGTACAGAAGCTTTT